ATTATTATTTAGAAAGAGAACTACAATGCATATAGTATTAGGAAATGATGACAATCTTTGAATGATATCTCTGAAATATTCTATTATTATTTAGAAAGAGAACTACAATGCATATAGTATTAGGAAATGATGACAATCTTTGAATGATATCTCTGAAATATTCTATTATTATTTAGAAAGAGAACTACAATGCATATAGTATTAGGAAATAATGACAATCTTTGAATGATATCTCTGAAATATTCTATTATTATTTAGAAAGAGAACTACAATGCATATAGTATTAGGCAATGATGGCAATCTTTGAATGATATCACTGAAATATTGTATTATTATTTAGAAAAAGAATTACAATGCATGTAGTATTATGCAATGATGACAATCTTTGAATGATATCACTGAAAGAGTCTATGATTATTTAGAAAGAGAACTACAATGCATATAGTATTTAGAAATGATGACAATCTTTGAATGATATCACTGAAAGATTCTATTATTATTTAGAAAGATAACTACAATGCATATAGTATTAGACAATGATGACAATCTTTGAATGATATCGCTGAACGATTCTGTTATTATTTAGAAAGATAACTACAATGCATATAGTATTAGACAATGATGACAATCTTTGAATGATATCGCTGAAAGATTCTATTATTATTTAGAAAGATAACTACAATGCAAATAGTATTAGACAATGATGACAATCTTTGAATGATATCGCTGAAAGATTCTATTATTATTTAGAATGAGAACTACAATGCATATAGTATTAGACAATGATGACAATCTTTGAATGATATCACTGAAAGATTCTATTTATATTTAGAATGAGAACTACAATGCATATAGTATTAGACAATGATGACAATCTTTGACTGATATCACTGAAAGATTCTATCAATATTAAGGCAAAGTTTTAAGGATCACCGTTTCGTATACATTTATTGTGGTTTATTTTGACTGCAGGGCTTTACTGTTTTCATGACAGCTCCCATTGTCACGGGATAAATACGTGGCTAGAGATTAGATTGCTTGGTTGGCTAACTGATCAAGCATTTTGTTATTGTTTCCGTTTTCATGGTCCATAGTGTTTGTAAAATTTATTGATTAGATCGATCGCTTGGTGAATTTCCTTTTCTTAGAAGAGAAACTTAATAGAAGTTTTGTCGTTCTTAACTTTTCACACCTTAGGCCAGACTTTTTTTATTCCTTGTTTCTCGGGTTTTTATAAGGCAATTTTTTTGAGGAGGGCGGAAAAAAATAAAATTAATTCTTTTTTTTTTGCATTACATTTGTGTGATTCTCAAAGAATTGTAAGTGAGATCATTTATCGGAGAGAAGAAAAGAAATAAAATTATATTCCATGTATAACCTTGTTTCTCATCTGCGCGGGACTTCGGTACTTTGATCATGATACTCCCACAAAAATGCAACTTGCATTTGTTATGCAGCGGTGAAAAAACGAAGATAAAGATAATATTTTTTTAGCAATTTTCCTGCGGGCGCGAGAAAATACGCTGAAATAAAATTTTATTTTTATTTCATTTTCGGCTCCTGTTCATTCGGCGGGTTCGTGAAACAAGGGATAATGGCCTTAATAAGGATACTGAAAAGTAAAGTAATATCATTGTCGATAGAGGGCAGCATTGGCGTACACCGCGCCGGTTGTTCATTAGAAGGGTAATCCATCAACTGCTGGCTAAAGTTAGAGAGCGTATCGCATACTGGATAATGACGTAATTTTCAGCCAGTATATCAATTTTTTGTGAGCTGTACGGTTAAGATGCATTGTTTTGCTTTTTTATACAAGTGTTAATATTTTATAATTAATTCTACAATCAATATGTTATAGTGCAATTTTTTGGCGTGTGTGTGTGTGAAGTACCCACATTATTGCTGTATGCTGATCTATCAACAATATCCGCTCTATTTCATTTCAACATAGGCCTTTTTCTATTATTAGTTGTTCTAGCAGCAATACTTCATACACTGGAGGGGACGACATCAGTTAATTACCGTAAAAAGCAACAACCTGAGCGCCCCTGATTTCATTCGTTAAGATATGCACACACATAATACAGCATTCCTTTTTAGTGGCATTATGTCATAATGACGTAATGAATCAAAGCAATGTCGTACCATCTTTGATGTGCAACCGTTCGTCATCTAGAATTTAGAAAAATATTCGCCAAAACATTGATGAACGACTACAGATAACAACGATATCAATGATTTGAATTACCTACGTGTTTCCTATCTGTGCCATAGACGCGATTTGTCACTAGTGGGCGCGATTTAATTGGCTACTAGTAATATTTTACAACAATGTCCGGCGTGCAAAACAACGAATTGGTCTGTGGGGATATAGAAGATTCACGGATCGATTGTATTTTTACAAGCGCAATTATATTAATCATAGTTTGAAGAGTACACTGACAATTCCATTAATTTTTTTTTTTCATTCGACAATTTACAATTTTGATTCATAAACCCTAACAAAAGTGATTCACAAACCGTAACAAAAAAGCTTGTTATTTTGTATCATTCATTTCGCTACTGCTATATCGAATTATGTTTGAGATAAATGGCCCATAAATTTATTTTTAATAATATTGCAACACTTGGCTTGCCATAATAGAGATAAAATTTGCATGACGTTATTATGTTATTAACTAGTATAGTGTTATTTCAGCTGTATAATTTCATATTGTAATTGTAAATTCTCAACATAAAGTAAAGCCTGTGTCATGTTAGAAAACTGGTTAACATTCCACCCAATGAGTGTAGTAATGGACTCGGACCCCCTAACTATGATAACAGTTGAACATTTTGCCATGCCACCTAAGTTTATAAGTATTTATTGGCATGTGACGAGGAATGGTTTATTAATACTCGTCGCAGGACTCGTTTGTCACTGCGTATGCCAAGACGACAGACGTGAATTGCTTCCATGTTTTCTGCTATCACTGCCCTGATGTATACACGTTCGTGAGACGTCTCCAGATGAAATTGGTTTCCACACCTTGTTTACTCATCTTCACTTTTCAGAAAACAGTAGACGTACACACGAAACATGTATGCTTATTTATATATGATTGCTGTCTTGAATGTGGTGTTACTAGTTATTGGTTTCTTTGGCAACATTCTTGTTCTCCGTGTCTACCTTGCCAAAACGCTACGGACAAGTACAATGTATTTCATCATTGGCCTGGCAGCTGTCGATTTGTCCGCCTGTGTTGTCGTCATGCCTTTTAACGTCTACGTTAGTCTTCGTAAATACTACTTCGACAGCGACGTCGCGTGTAAGCTGCTAATGTGGGCCAGTTTTGTGTTAGTCAACGAATCAGTAGCGATAACTGCATTGATCGCCGTAGATCGCTACCTGAGTGTGTGCAGGCCCTTCACAAGGTACATCTCACCATACCGCGCTAAGATTATGACAATCGCGACGTTCCTCGCTTCGATTTTACTAAACCTGCCGGTTTATTTCATTTTCGGGACATCGGAGTATGAGTTGGGAAAACGATGCGGTCTGCTTGCGGACACCACTGGTTCATGGAAATACATGTTTTTGGCGTACTTCTTTATTATGTTTATGATTCTTTTACTAGTGACTGTAATATTATATACGAAAGTGTACAAAGAAGTAGAGAGGAGAACCCGGGTGTCCCATTCTAGTAACGATACACTGAACACCATCAGCGGGCAGTCAGTCTATACCAACACAGAAGACAATACCCGCCGCTGCAGTTTAAACGCCGCGACAGCAGTGACCGAGTGTTCTACAACTGAAAGCGGCAAACCAGAAAGGGTAACAAACGATAGACCTACGGATGTAGGAACACATAGACCTGATCTCAATAGACGCATAATGAATTCCACAGCCAAGATGTTGTTACTAGCAACCATCGTGTTTATAGTCACATGGGTGCCTCATTGGATCATTCGTTTCCTGCCGTCTAGTTTGATAAACGAAGGAGATAGTTTTGGTTTTATTTGCATGAAGTTCATAGAATACATGTTCGTTGTCAACAATGCAGTAAACCCCGTCATTTATTGCTTTGTTAACAAGCGCTTTCGGGAAGATTGCAAAAGAGCCTTACGGCGCGGCTGTAACTGATGTAATCGCTCTATTAATTTAGTTGCCTGATCAAAAAATATGGTTATGAAAATATTTACGTTTCGTAAAGCCTTTTTTTATAATTAATAGACGAATAGTCAGTCAAATATACCGCCGTGGCCTTCTTCGACATACACGAGTCAGAGTAAGGAACACCGTTCACAGCTCTGATAATGTTTTTGATGTGTTGGCAGTCGTCCGTAACACAGTGTTTTGTTAGAGATTTTGTATTTTCTATATGAAAAAGTACTTCACAAAAGAAACAGGCATAATTAAAACCGTAACACATTAAAATTTGGCCATCTTAAATATGAGTATTTATAGTGTGAAATGTCTTGGTTTACATATACCGCCGTGGCCTTCTTCGACATACACGAGTCAGAGTAAGGAACACCGTTCACAGCTCTGATAATGTTTTTGATGTGTTGGCAGTCGTCCGTAACACAGTGTTTTGTTAGAGATTTTGTATTTTCTATATGAAAAAGTACTTCACAAAAGAAACAGGCATAATTAAAACCGTAACACATTAAAATTTGGCCATCTTAAATATGAGTATTTATAGTGTGAAATGTCTTGGTTTACATGGCAACGACGGGCAGGAATTGTTATATATTTTACCGATGGAAATTAGATGGAGGTTATATAACAAGCACAAGTGACATTAAAACTCAATATATCGTATCTCAAAAATCAAATTAATTCATGTTGTTTAAAGTTATTAATATTAATCACGGCGCCAGTTTTGTGTTGTTTCGAATGAACCTTATGGGTGAAAATCTCCGATGCAAACCTAAATAAAATGTAAAAAGCTGTTCAATACTAGAGGATGATACTAGTATAACGATAGTAGACAGATGTTGTTTTCAAGGGCTCTGTTATTCCATTACTCACTGCGGATGTTGTTCGATATGTCGGCAGTCTAATCCCAGAACCTATGTTAGTGTTTACCAATTTCGGGGTGTTTTTACTAACATTTCCGACGATATATCGGGTTTCATGAAGGCGAGAATTTATCAATAATTATGAAACATTTATACGAAAATATTTATTCAAATTCAAAAAAAGATGCGTTCATTGGTTGAAAAAAACAACATTTGGTAAAATGAATCTTAATAGAATTTACGAGGTTTCTTCAATCATAGGCCGACTTACTGCCATGAATGCAAAAGATACTACATCCTGTCAAAATTGTTCGAAACGCTTGACACTACTGTGATTCGTTCGCTGAAATAAAGTACAAGCAGCATCATTATAGATTCGCACAAAACGTTTAAATTGTCAAAGCGAGTCAAAGTAAAAAAAAAACAGATTTAAAAGTTAACTGCACAGTGGAGTTTTATACGACTGAATCCATTCACTAATGATTATGTTGTGATTGGTCATTTTTTTTTCTCAATCACCATTTGAAATTTATAAACATTTATAAATATTTTATATAAAACGAATTCACGATTTGCATTACGAAATCAAATTCTATTAAATTTAGCTCTATGTTCAAATCTGCTGCTGATATTTTAAAATTCTCATGTTTTAAATTTAAATGTTCACATCTTAAAATGAAATTTTAATTTTAATTCATTTATTTTCATGATTTTAGTTATGACAAACTTTATATTCATACATACGATACCCTACAACAATTATCGATTGTTACCCATCCACGTTTGTTCTCGTTCATACACGCTGCGTTCGACTATGCCTTTGGCTTAATATATTTCTGATGAAGTGATGTACACTGCATGTAAGAAAACCAATCACAGTTGTCTATTAGAAGGATATTCTTTTCACTATTTTGACGTCACAGTAGCGCCCGTCGCTAGAGGGCGCGATTTATATGGGTTGTGTACTCAGATAAGTTGAGTTTAAAAGATTTGTACAATATATCGTTTACGTAAGTCGCTCCTTTTAGCCATGGAGTATTTCTGTGACGTAAATTAGTGCCAGGGGCTGATATTGTTTTGATCTGAGGCGGTCTGTCAATTACAAAAACATCTATTTAATTATTTAGAAAAAAGTCTCGATGACGAAGGACTTCACAGTCAAACCTAGTTGTCTACTTCAATGGTATTGCCTACATCTATCTACGTCACTTTTATTTGTGATTATTTAAAGCGGGTGAGTCGTCACCTGCGCATGCGTCAGGTGGTCATAGCGTGTCATTGTTTACAAACAAGGGTCTACCCATGAGCCTTTGCGTTTTTTATCGTGTGTTGTTATCGTCGCTTGGGACTCAATTCCCGCGCGTGCGCGGGTGACGACCCTCCCGCTTTAAGCTTACTTTCATATGTTATCAAAATCACTGTTATAATCATATCAGAACATATTTATATCTACACAGACTTGTACCCAGTTACCGATTTGGCTTAATATTTGTAGTTTTATTTATGTGAATAAACAATTTAAAAAATAACTAGTGCAATTCTTCCCCTGACAGCCACAGCAATGTAACTAATTTTCAATAGTGTGAAATGTCGTCGGTAGTCGTGCTGTAATCAGCATAGAAGTCCAGATAATCGTTGAAATAGCGTACGCAAGTTGTCTTGTTATGAATGGTCGTAGCTAACACACTTTTGCTAACTTAATCCTAACGATTATTTTAAAATCAGAAACCAATTTACTTTGAAACTCGATCTAGTTTTTATAATATGAATCTGAATTCTATGCATTTTGATAATTTTTCGTTTAAAAATTCACGAGTTTTGAGTTGAACGCTATAGGACATTTGTCATCTTCCATTGCAACAAGTTCGTATACTCAAATTTGTTCTTTGTTTTTTTGTCATCAATTTGATGAAACCAACACTATATTAACAATTTGTACTGCAATTCAAATTTCCACATTTTCACAAGATAGCCGTGTCCATAATCAATACCACAATTATTAACGCCAGTTTGGATTTGCATTGAAAAACATAAGAATATATAGGTTTTATACTCAATCCAGAAAAATTAATATGACATTTTTTCAATAGTAATTTTCATCTGGCAACCTCATTGAACCAATGTGTCGCTTTAGGGTATCAGTGGTTGTTTTATCGCCTCGGTATCTCATTAATCATCGTAATATTTACTGAGAGTATCGTACTACGCACAAAAACAGAGCTGATGCAAAGCGCTGAAATGTCGAGAGAGTACTTCTAAGCTACTGCCTGCAGACATAGTACTGTTATCCATTAGTCTGATTTGATCTAGGCATCACAGTACTTTTGTTTTTTTAATCTCACGAGTATTGAAACGGGTATAACAATCAACAATAATTTGAGAAGTATATGTTGCTGTTTAGTTCTTCGTTAGTATGTGCCTTTTTAAGCGTGTACTTATTTGGTTCAGCATCCCCAGGGTGTCGCATAGACGTGCAATACATTCAGCTTAGATTGTCATAATACGTATTCGCCGTGTTCATGCATGTAGTATTAATACAGTGGCATCTATTGACGACACGTTCCCAAGGTTGATGGTACAATTTTGTTTCCTGTATATCAATCTCAATTTTTCGTGTTTTTGCCTTTGTTTTTTGTCTATTGTTCTATCGTCATCGCATCTATCGTTTTGCCTGACCTATGACCTAAGTATTCATCGGCGTATACCGCGTAGAAACACGTAGCGTACCCACAAGTTGTGCCCTTGTTGGGAGGTTTTCTTCAGCTATTTCACATTGTTAATAAATAGACACTAGATGTATAGTGCATTTGGTCAGCCACAGCCCCTCTATAGAGCAACTGTGAGTCAGTAATATTAGATATGAAAAATAAATTCTTATAGAGTCTAATGATGCGTTCGCCCAGCCAAGTCACTTTGGGAGACAACATAAGATATACCCATGGTTCATCGCCGCAGGGCAGTCATCGCATTCGTCGCACACTTGTACTTCGCGCACTTCCAAAGTCAACAAGCATTTGGCCAGGTGATTTCATTGAACTGGACTCAAGTGAGACATTTGCACTCGATCCACAATTAGAAATTCGCTCTCCCTCAGTCATATCATGTGACAAGCCATAACGTGGTTCTAATATTTACTCCAGCAGCTGGTATAATCAGTATTTAGAACCAATATGACATGCCACAAACTTTGAAACACATGTGTATCATAGCCACGCCAGCTCTTTAAGAAATGAGCTATATAGATTCAGTTAAAATTGACCCTGATCGACTTCCAACAGGACAAATCTCACTACATTACACCATGAATATGAATATGTTTCCAACACTACAATCAAATGGTATAATGGTGCTTCTGGTCTATTTCAAACAGTTGAAAACATGAGTTCTGTTCACCCACCACAGCTCAACGGCCGTATCCAACAATACTTGCATGACAAGTTAGCCGAGCTACAGCAAATTTGATGAGATTGAAGAGCTCGGCGGTTTTGCTCGCATAGAAGGAGTACTTGTCAACGTAAATATGTTAACCCACCCACCCCCATTCTTCACGCATTTGCAGACGTTGCCGCTACAGCAATTCAATGAAAATATATCATCACCACCAATCTCAGTAAGGTTTTCTTCCAGATTCTTCTTTCGCACGAGTGACAAAAATACTGTGATGTAACAACCCCATTCATAAGTGTCCATATGTCTATGTGTGTTCAGCCATAGGAATGCCAGGTTCTGAGACAGCACTGGAAGAGTTAATGTCTTGCATAATCAGTCACCTTCTTGAGGATGGTAGCATGGCCAAACTCGCAGATGATCTATAATGTGGTGTACGATCAGGGACCTCCTTGTAAACTGGAATCTTCTCCTATGCAAACTAGCAGTCAATGCCTGACACTTGTCACCATCAAAAAGCATTATCTGCCCTGCAACCATCACAATTCTTGCTTGTGTGTGGAACCAGGGAACCATCCGTGTAAACTCTGTATTTCTACATTGTCATTATACACATTATACATCGTACGCAACATTATTCATTTCTAGGTGAATATGGTGTCCTAGCTAGAGATCTATCGGGGTGTGCATCTCTTGTTGTCAAACTAGAAGAAGCAACTATTGGACGTTGGA